TCATCGAATATGAACAATTTTGTTAACCTTTTTCCTTCTGAAGGCCGTATACACGTTGTCCGAAAATAGCTTCGACTCCTGGAAATAGGGGTTCCTGGGATGATTTGTAACAACTTCTTCCTTAGCGGAAATGTTGTCCGAAGCTTTGTTAACGAGATATTAACGAAAAACCCCGACCAATCAGAGTGCGAGTTTGCCGGCCGAGCTTCCGCGATAGAGTCGGCTACGCGCTGTGATTGGCACCCAACGTTACCGCGGAAGCTCGGCCGGCAGACTCGCGCTCTGATTGGTCGGGGTTTTTCGTTAATATCTCGTTAACAAAGCCTCGGACAACATTTCCGCTAAGGAAAAAGTTGTTTCAAATCATCCCAGGAATCCCTATTTTCGGGAGTCGAAGCCATTTTCGGACACCCTGTATACTGGACGAAACTCTTTGACTCGTCGACGGTTCGTTCGTCGGGATCGGTAATGGCCTAAAAAACTCGGAAACAGTTAAGCACTTTCTCTCTGTTCAACGTTTCGCGGCTCTCGGTCCAAGTTAATTTACCGCGATCGCCGGCAACTAATTTCCATTTCTCGCCGCTAAGAAAATCGTTACGAGGCTCGATCTTCCTTTTGACTTCCTGGCTGGCTGCCTCGAAACTCATCTCGATCCTAGATACAACGGACGCAACAATTGTCAGGGCGGTCTACTCTATTTTCAGCCGGTTGTTCCTTCAGCCATGTCTCTCCTATTTTGCTATAGCTACCTGTAGACGCGTCACCTTGCGACTAGGAGATAGGACTAACGATTATCATTTCATTGCACACGCGTTTCACACGTTCGCTACAGGGGGGCGTTGTACAGTCAGTCGCGACAATCACAATTATGCAGGTTTTATACAGGGTGATTAATAAATGTACGTTAAAGTTCAGGTGGTAAATCTACACATTAATATAAATACGAAAACGTCGTATGAACATATTGTCTGTAAACCCTAGTTTTCGAGTTTTTTTTGTAGAATGTGCACATTCGTCCACTTGCGTTGAATACATAATAGTTTTTAAATGGCTCCAAAAGTCTAATGAGTTGAGATTGTGTGCACTTAAGGAATACTTTCTTTTAATCGTCCATATCTCGAAAACTAAGGTATACAAGGCGTGTGTTCATAAGACGGTTTTTTTTATTTATATTAGTACGTAGATTTATCTCCTGAAGTGTTTGAGATGAATTTATGAATCACCCTGTATAACGGATGGAGTTTACTTATGCTATTGTAACGTCATCGTGGCGCAGTGTTCGGGGAGCCAAACAGGACACCTCTCTGCGTCACATTTTTGTGCAGTTTATAAAAAGGTGGTGTGAAATAAAAAAATAATTGTCAAATAAGTATTGATACCGAGTGAACATTGTTCGATGTCGTTTTAGGATGTGTGATCGGTTGAGATCCACTGGAAATCGCGATATTATGACAAGAGCATGAATTTACCTGTGTGGGTTCGTTAAGACGTCAATGGGAACTGCGATTAAAAGTATAGGCCCTAAAACCGATGTCGTAAATTCAAGCCTTAAGGGGGAAATACCGTATAGAAGTAATACCTTGAATGTCAAACTGCAAAAGTTATCAGTGAATTGATATTAAAAATTTCCAGCTTACAGTCTCGTTTATGGAAAACTGTTACGATATGATGTCCCCGTGACCTTTTGTTCGTTAACAGTTACCTTACTAGTAAAAGTTTGCCTGCAATTTTCAAATTTTCCAATTATGATGTTAGGAACAACATGCAAACTTTGACTCACGACCGATTTCACGACTTAGTATCGGTTCTGGGACCTATACGTGAGGGACTGTTCTGGACCGAAGATTCTTGCTCGTGCAGTTCTCCCAAGTGACAGAGATTATGTACATATAAAAAAAAAAAAAAAATAATTCGTCGGTGGTGTACCGGCGTTGTTGATCGACGTGGAAGAATGACCAGACTAGATACCGTCCCATCGGGCGTGTCGGCGAGACAACAGCTAACGCAACTTTCGGCTGTCTCGATTCTTAGTTTCTGATTCTTTCTAATTCGCTGCCCCTTTCTGTGTCGATAGCTGCTGGCATTAAATTTACAGCGGATTGAAATGGTCCACGCTGACTGCGCGCCTGCGGTCCCGAGTAGCGCGCAGTTAACGCGACTTTATTGTATTCGAAAGAACTTGAACTTTCCGCCGGTTGTTGTCAACGATAAAAAAAGACTCAAGTATTTCAGATGTGAATCGTTGTTGTACCGTCCACTTGAACGTCGCTCGAGCTCTTTATCTCCTTTTTCACCTCTTGAATAGCTGTTTCGAGCCACGGAACATTAGTTCAGTTTTACGCCCCGAATGATTTCACGACCACGCTCTATCTCGGCGAGAACAATAATGTGGCTGCTCCCTTGTAGTTCCAGGAATTTGCGGAGAGATTACACATCGACAGTTACGCGGGCAGTTACTGTACTTTTATCGACTCTCTGACGCAGCTAAAATTCTCAGCGGGAAGAACGAATTCGTAGTCTGGAAAAATAAAATATTTACGCGTTCGCATAACACGGTTCTAGCGAAAATCCCCGGGGATGCTGTCGTTGCTCGAAGGATAATTCGATAAACTTTAACGAGAGCAAGAAAAACCGTGGGCCGTTGTGTCTTTCACGCCAACGCGAGACGTTATAGAACCGGTTCTAGTCTCCTGGACACACGTGAGAGGGCTGCGCGCTCGCAACACCGTGGAATCCGCGATTCCGTAACGCGAAAAGCTCGTTCCCGAGGGAACCCGACGAGACGATCGGACGAATCGGTCGAGTGAACGGTTGGACATTTAAAACTTTCAACACCGACTACGCCCATGGGGCGTCGAAGACAGACACCGTAGTAAGGCGTTGGATATTATTCTATGGGCACAGGAATCAGGTGGGCCGCCAGGATATTTCGTCGAGAAGAAATTGTCGTTGCTGGTCTTAGACGAATTATCAGACGTCAATAAAAATGTGGAACACTTTCACACGATGGATTCTGGAAAATGAAGAATAACAAAATTGCGGTCGAGGCTTCGTCTCCGAGATATTAATGGTTCATTTGTTATTTTATCGATAATTATGCATTTCTTTCTGCATAATCGTAACTTTCTGGATATTCTTGTAAATGCTTTTGTAAGCTTCTTCTTTTTTCGTTGTTTATTTTTGTAATTACGTATATAGTCCTGTAGAAGTTTTGTCAAACTTTCTGCATAGTTACTATATGTTTCTGTAAACTCTTGTATGTCTGTACGCATTTATTGTGTATGTGAACTTTTTGTTTACCCTCCCATAACCCGTTTATAAATAAATATTATTATTGAATACGTAAAATATGTCTGACTCTTTAATTGTTTCATGTGTTGGTGTAACTCATTCGACTGTATTCCATTCGAAATATGGTCAGACCATCGATTGATACCGTGTATAAGCTGGGAATCGACTGTTATAAGTACAGTAGCCATTCGTTTAACGTAGACCCGTTTATTGAATCTTGGGAACGCCCCTCGCTCGCACGTATTTCTCACACACGTGCGTGCGTACCCCAGTTTGTCGCCCAGATACACACGGTCTCGCGTTTAACTCGCATATTTACCATCACAGAGACTGTGGTGTATATGATATTGTTTTAATAAAATGTCTCAATGCTCAATAACTTTTGTGAATAAACTTTTTTGATATCTCTAAAAATAATAGTAAGGTGATCTAAAAGTGCATACATTCAGCCCACCCTATATTTAGTTAGCGTGTGATTGGCCCTCGTTTATTGCATCATTCCTGGAAATTTCGCCCTCTACAGTCCCAAAAGATGCAATAAACGAACGTCTACTGTAATCAATAACTCGAAAACGAAACCTCGAACGGAATTTCGTCATTCTTCATTTTCTTCTTAGTTTGGTATGTATGTAAAGTCCACCCTGTGAAAGCGTCCCACATTTTTATTAACACTCTGAGTAAGTGTTACCGATTACATCATTCACGATTCACCGATCTCTGACTTTCAACTCCGCTTTCTTCGATAACCCCGTCCACGAACACAGTAATAAAATTGTTTCTTCAAAACGCCGACTATCGTCCAGTGTGTTGTGGGGTATATCCTCACGGATCATCGTTGACCCAGTCGTCCCAATTTCGACGATCCGCACACTCCGAGAATGAAAATCACAGATCTGTGATTTTTCCCTTCGGCGAATAACCAACGCAACAATGATATCGCGCGACTAATGCGTATTTATACCGATTAACCCTCGAAGTACGGTGCCTGGGTCGTTTTTAATCGAAGTTTGTAACAGCTACATACCAATTTATAAATCGAATTTAAGGTTGGAGTTACTCGTATTAAATCATATTAAACGCCAGGCCTTCCAGAATGATTGGGTTCAAAAATATGTTCAAAAAGTCGGAAGCACAGGAGTCGAAACGGACCCAGGTACCACTGTTGTACGAACAATTAAAAAATGTCCGTCTTCCGAAGATTAAATAGAATTAACGATCAAGGCGTGCGTGTGCCTTCTCGATCCACCACGACGAACCAGGACCTTCCAGGACGAACGGATACGCATCGGCCCCAATTAACAGATGGAGGAACTGATCCATGCAGTCCATGATTCGGTTTTCTCGTTTTCGTTTCGCACAGACATACTAGACGCGGCACACAGTGGTCCAGGATGAAAATTTAAACAGCTCAAATTGGTTAAAAAGAAATTTCTGTTATCTTTCAAAAACCTCGCATCAGCTTATTAGTACCCATGAAAGATTTGTTCCATTTCATCATTGATCACCTGAAATTTCAGTTGAAAATAGAAAAGAAATTTCCTAAAAATTCAGACTGTCATGACGATACCGGAAACACTGTTACTGAAACTGTAAAAATCTGTTCATTGAACTACACTTCGATTTGAATAAAATTTATAAGTTTCACTTGTTGAGCTAAATAATCGTATGATCTGCTAAATTTTGATTCTGAAAATCCACTGTACGGCGTCTCGATCGAGTGGACTGTAACAATTTACACCAGGAGGGGGAAAAAAAACCACGATTTGTGCTGTTCCACGGCTTCCCAAACGATTGCCTAATTGTAATCTACGCATGGAACGTGCGACGTAAACCCCATGAGTCGTTTTCTCTCAAAAGGGGATCACAGGACGTTAGTAAGCGGCTAGACGGCGCACTGAGGGGGTTGCGTCTGCTGACTGACTTTTTTGTTTATGCGGTTATCAAAGAGACAACGACGGAGAGATCGAAAACAACCTTCGACGTATATATATATTACAAATCGAGTGAAGAAGGAACGACAACGATCGGTCACGGGGCCCGAGGGAACGCGGCGAGTTCGTCGATCGGATTGACCACGGGGCCGTGGTTCTGTCCCTCGATCGGTGGAGCCGTCGATGAATCCTCATGATCGCCACGCCCAACGGGTCCTAGAGTATTTGGAAGAGCTTCTTCAGTTCCACCATTAGCTGCCAGTCCGTTTTCACCAGATCGTCCCTGAAGTACTCCTTACACGCGTCTATGCTCTGTCTGCTGATCTGTAATCAGACGAGGAAAAAACCGATGTTAGATCGAGGATTCACGGGTTGCTGGTGCAGCTCCGTTAGCTGGAAGACTGTTTTTTTTAAAAATGAAATTTGGTGTAATATGAAAGAACGTTAACGCTGTGACTATTATCACGTCACAGGTATCTATATACAGGAAATCCTCGATAAGTGTTCGAAGGCTCCTCGGCACTAACAAGTGGAGAGGTCCTCAGATGTAACGGTGACTTTTTAATGAGGTTTATTACTGTGAACCTGGCAAATTTAAATCTATAGTATGAAATTCAGGAAAGTGGCAAAAGAGATAACTATTGGTGATAAAAATCTAGCTTTACTGTAGGTGTTTGTCTTGCATTCAATTTGTTAAAACATTACTACAAAATTAGGGTTAATTAGCCTATTCGAGATTTCTATCCACGTGAAAATTTAACCACATATCGCGCGTATGGCAATAACATGTCAGATTCGTAGGGTTTTGCCTGGGAGGAAAATCTCCCGAAGGCACAGAGGCGATTAATATAATATAATAATTTGTTAACGAGATAAATACCCTTTAGTTATAACAACGAGAGAAGGACGTACATAACAAAAAGAAAATTAAAGTAAATGATAAAATTATATTAATTATTGACGATGCGAAGAAACGAATTCTTCAATGCTGGCGGAGAGTGATTGACCATGTTAACAGAGTTACAGAATTCGTTGGCCAACCTCCAAGCACGATCAAAACAACCAAGTTGGCCATAATGAGTACTTTGAGTTTTGACATAAAATAGGCTATGATATCGAGAGCTTCGATATGGTACATAAAAATTTAGCAATTCCACAATCTCCGAGCAATTCACGTGACCAAGGAGAATCCCATTTACGGAAAGAAAAGAATAATTGTCAGCCCGCCAGCTCATGGTCAAAGAAGAGATCGAGGGCGTCTGTGAACGCATCATCGATCGTCCGCTTCTCTCGTCTACGAATAATTTCCTTGAATCGGTTTTCGCGAGGAGGACAGGCGCATGCTCGAGCGTGCGCGCGCGCGCGCACACACGGTCCATTCACTAACGTAACGCTTTACAACTGTTTCCGCCCCCACTCCCGGCCGGAAGTCCCGTTTCATTCATGGATCGGTCACAATGGTGGTTTTACGCGGCTATTGAGGACGCCTGCCTCCCGCCACGCCCCTGCTACTTCTCCCTCTCTCTCGCTCTATCTCTTTCCTTCTCGCTCCTTTCCTCCTACCCTTTTCCCTCTCTCTTTCTTGCACGCACAAGCCGCATACATACACACACATATTGCACATATACAGAGAGTTGCACCACACACACACACACACAGCTCTAATACCGTATGTGTATAATGCTTTGCTTCTAGTCTTTCTCTACTTCGATCTTTCTGGTTCTGTCCTTTGCTCTCTTATTCCCTCTATCTCTCTTTCTGCACGTAGTTCTCACTCTTATTCTCTATCTGCGCGCGATATTGCATGCTCAGCAAAGGGTCTTCTGCTCGTGGACGAACCTTCGCAAGCAGACGTTCGAAGCTCTGTGTGGTTGAGTATATACTAGGAATATTTGAGTGTGTGTCATTTCTCAAGATAAATAAAATTCTAAGAAGAAAGTTCCACGTATAAAAAATCCTACGGGTATATACACTTCGCATGCTTTATTCTTCGGGTGACGTGTTGATACTAGTATGTAGGTCGAATCTGTAGAAGTGGAATCTATACTGGAATCTACCGCAGAAATAATTCACAAGAAACACGTTGTTCTGGACGTCACTCTATTATTATGTCTTAAGGTTTTAAAACACTCAAGCTTTGTACATCACTTCTCTGCAGACAATTTATTCGAGCTTAAAGACTCGAGCGTTAAAGAACTTCGAGGGTTCGAGCTTTCAGGGTTTGAACGGCACGTCGAGCTGTTAATGTCAAGATCCGAAGCTCATTTTAACAACATCGACTGCCACAGTGAAAAAGGCTACACGTAGCCAGACATACTTTATTTTGTTTTTAAACTCATAAATAATTGACAATGTACGCGTTTCGTTATTACAGGCTGTTGGTCCCGTTTCAAATTATACTGCAATATTAAATATTACGCAAAAATTTTGTAACTGGGTAGGGAAGGGGGAGCTGCAAAATCCAATTTTTTCTTGTAGCGTGAGGCAAAAGCCACTTTTGTTCCGTCCAGGGGGGCTGACTACGCCCATGTATGGGGCGTTTAAGACTCTCCGAAAAGAAACACCGATCCCCACCGACGAACCATCGCCGAAAAGCATCTTCTAAACGTCCCCGAATATTCCCTCCGTGTCAATCTAAAATTAGCCGAAAGAACTCGCATTCATGTTCGAGACCTATCCAAATCTCACAGCCGCTTTTTTTCTCCCCCTTCCCTTCCCCACTGAACGAAAAACGGATCACCTTAAATAACTCGAGTCCCAGAAACGGGGCGTATTAATTCCTTTCTAAATGAAGCACATCCCGAAGGAACGCTCGCGTCTCGTTCAAGGGCCATAGACTCCTCCCCCCGCCCCCC